AACCGCGCATTTCAACCTCTTCCTTCGTGTCTTGGTTTCCATCCAGTCTCCCTCTTGAGTCCTCTGGATGTCATAGACTCTACAACATCTTGCTTTCAACTTCTTGGAGGTCTACCCCGTTTGCGACGCTCTAGTGGTACCCACTCATAGACTATTTTTGGCCTTGTTGTGTTATCCATACGTTGAAGGTGACCATGCCAAAGTAATCTTTTTGTTTCAATCGTTTCTAAGATGTTGTAGTCTACTTCCATAATTTGTCTGATTCTTTTGTTCCTAACATGTTCTAGTCTGGAGATTCGGCAGCTGCTTCTCCAGTAATCCCTTTTAAGGGACATCAACCTCTCTTTATGTCTTTTCGTCATCTCCCATATTTCTGAGCCATAGGTACAGATACTTTCTACTATAGCTTTGAATATCAATTTATTTAATTTGTTTTTCACTCTAGTACTCCATAGAATAGAATTTAGGTGTCTAATTGGTCTCTTACCCTGTGCTAATTTATTTGAAATGACTTGGTTGCTCTTGTCTTTCACCGTAAACGTTACACCCAGATATTTGAATGATGTTGTGTTCTGTACGCTATGGCTTCTAACATCCAAATCTCGTTTATTTTTACATCAATTGTCAATCCCCATATGTATTACAGCTCCCGAGATCCCAATAGTGAGGGTCGAATATGAAGCGCATCCTGTATATGCATTCATAAATAAATACGGTTAAACGTCTTTGCTTCGTCACAGTAACCATGACCAACCGTAGTCTGTCTCCAGGGCTACTATACCCATACCGCACTGGTGAGTTGCTAAAGAGCACAAAACAGCGCTGTAGGTTTTTGGTCGTGGTTGTAGAGACAGAAAGCAACCGGGCATTTCAACCTCTTCCTACGTGACTTGGCTTCCATGAGAGAATGACTTTATCCATTGCCAATGTCTTGGAATTATATATACTCGTATATATATATATATATACAGGGTGACTTTGAAGTTGAGTCATTAATTTTCAGATAATGATTGTAGAAGGAATATAAACCAAAATATGTGTGTAAAAATAAAAAAAAAATTAAAAAAAAAATTTTACCTTGTTTTATAAAGTATCCTCCCGACAAGTATTTCAGTGCGGACCTGTATTTGATCGTGAGGTCTTGGAGCACCGGCATGCCGTCCCCTGTGAGGTCTTAAGTCACCTGATTCACGAGCCCGTTGGACTAGATTAACAAAGGCACGAGGGGTTGGTTGCACTCGATTGGGAAACCGATCCGCATAAACAATTTGCCATTTTTTATTTCGTTTGAGCCACGCAACAGACACCACTATTCACTCACGCGTTACCGACTGACACTGACTGTATACAACTGAATAAAAAAATTGTAAAAACATCGTTTCAAGTTCTTTCGCTTTTTTGTTTCCGATGCGATGAACCGATAAGGCGGATTATATCCGTTGTTGCCAAACACGAGCACATAATATTATTATTGAGACAGGACGGTACTCAAACTTCCCAAGGGCTATAACTTTGTTACTTTAATTTTACCAGAAAAATGGTAAAGGAAAAAAAACATTTCTCTAGATCAGATCTACTCACTGTTAAAATAAATGACTCAACTTCGAAGTCACCCTGTATATATATATAAGAAAAAGTAGGAAAATACTCCATGACCGCTCGGGTTACCTATCCTATTTTCTGCTCGAATCCACTTTCCTCGTTTTTGCGGATTTTGCCCATTATTTTCCTACTTTTTCTTATATACCTTTCTCCGCATGATCATTGTCTCTTTATATATATACGAGCCCCTCCCCACTTCAGTTGGCCCAACTATTGAAATCTTAGTTTTTTTCTTACCAAACACAAATAATAAAAATGTAGCAGGGTGTTATAGGTTTAAAATATTAACAATGAATATTTTGATAATAATGGGTGATTTTTTTGCTAGTATCTTTTTGGCAACACTGTTTTTGACAGATGACGCGTGAATCGTGTCTTGTTTCATTGTCAAACCTGTCCAGTTTGGTCTATAATTTAACCATGAATCGACTTACGAACGAACAACGCTTGCAAATTATTGAATTTTACTATCAAAATTCATGCTCGGCTAAGAGAGTGCATCGAGCACTGCTTCCAATTTATGGGCAATTTGGTCGGCCTACTGAGGGAGCTATTCGGAAGCTTGTGACTAAATTTCGAACCCAGTTTAAATTATTGGACATTTAACCACCAACACGCAGACGTCGAGTGAGGACTGAAGAAAATATTGCGGCTGTATCCGCCAGTGTTAGTGATGACCGTGAAATGTCGATTCGCCGCCGTTCGCAGCAATTGGGCCTCTGTTACTCCACTACGTGGAAAATTTTGCGACAGGATTTGGGTGTAAAACCTTATAAGATACAGCTGGTGCAAGAATTGAAGCCATACGACCTCCCACAACGTTTCCAATTTGGTGAATGGGCGCTGGCAAAGTTGGAGGAGGATCCACATTTTTATCGAAAAATTGTGTTCAGCGACGAAGCTCATTTCTGGTTGAATGGGTACGTTAACAAGCAAAATTGCCGCATCTGGAGTGATGACCAGCCAGAAGCATTGCAAGACCTACTAATGCATCCCGAAAAAATCACTGTTTGGTGTGGATTATGGGCCGGTGGCAATCATCGGGCCGTACTTCTTCAAAGACGACAATGGCCGGAACGTAACTGTGAATGGCGAGCGCTACCGTGCAATGATAACAAACTTTTTTTGCCCAAAATGGAAGACCTGGACTTGGCTAACATGTGGCTTCAACAAGACGGTGCCACATGCCACACCGCACACGAAACAATGGCCCTATTGAGAGGCGAGTTCGGTGAACAGTTTATCTCACGTTTGGGGCCTGTCAATTGGCCGCCTAGATCGTGTGATTTAACGCCGTTGGACTATTTCTTGTGGGGCCATGTTAAGGCCAATATCTACAGGGATAAACCAGCAACGATTGACGCACTGGAAGCCAATATTGAAGCATTTATTCGAGAGATACCAGCCGATATGTTGGAGAGAGTGTGCCAAAATTGGACCTTGCGCATGGGCCATCTAAAGCAGAGCCGCGGCCAACATTTACATGAAATAATATTTAAGTATTAAATTATATCGACCGTTCTATCGACTCAAATAAAGATTCAATCGTTTCTTCAAATTTTTTGTGTGTTTTTTGAAAATCAAATCCTATACCTCTTAATACCTCTTAAAACATCAGCCGTTATATAGTAGAAAACACCAACTTTATCACTCCCTAATGAAATTTGCAGCATAAAAATAACACATGTTGCAATTACAGCATATCAACCTATTTTCATTTCAATGCAAAATAAGTCTATAACGCATAGGTGGCTGAGCAAAATCAAAGCCATGACAATTGTTTTTATTAATCACAGCTGTCAGAATACGTTTAAAATAGTTTTGGATAGTTAAGGTTTTCAAAATGGGTAGAGGAAAGCTTATTAATGAGAAAATTCGGTTACTGATAATTAAATTTTTTAATTCTGGGAAATCAAACTCAGAAATTGCAACTTTGTTAGACTTATCGCGGTACAGTGTGAGAAATATTGTTACAAGATATAACGTAACTGGTTCAGTTAATATTAAGCCACGATATGTGAAAAAAGTAATATCACAAATGCCGACCGAAGAGCATTAAGAAGAATAATCGTGAAAAACAGGCGTGCCAATTATTTACAATTAAGTGCTCTGTGGAGTGACGCTGTTGGAAGGAGAATTTCGAGGTCCACAACTCATAGAGAGGCCCATAAACTGGGATTTAGCACTTGCAAGGTAAGTTTTCCTATAAAAAAAGTGAAGTAAAAACCCTAAAGTTGCACAACTCGTTTATAGGCCAAAGAAATGCCACTATTAACTCCACTGCAAAAGAAAAATCGGCTTAGATGGGCTAAAGAACATAGACAATGGACGCCTCAACAATGGTGTGCAATACAATGGAGTGATGAGGCCCGATTCGAAGTTTGTGTTGGTGACAGTCGCAGTACAGTTATTCGCAAAAAAAGGAAGCATTCCGTTGACTATCTGAAGAGAAAAGCGAAATTTCCAGCATCCATTATGGTCTGGGGCAGTATGTCATCAAAAGGAGTAAAAAAACTTCATTTTATTGATGGAAATGTGGATACACACAAATATTTGGCAATTTTAGAAGAATCGCTTTTACCAGTGATGGAATAATGTTTCACATCCGAACAAGATTTTGTGTTTCAGCAGCGTGCCATACCTCAAAAAAGGCTATAAAATGGATGGAAGAAAATAATGTACCACTTTTGAAATGGGTTTATAGCAGTCCAGATCTGTCACCTATTGAAACTTTGTGGCACGAGATGAAAAAGGTTCTACGACAACATCCTGCTCGTACAATCACCGAACTGAGACAAAAGCTTCACGAAATATGGGATTGTTTTTCACCCAACTTTTGCCAAAACTTGGTTAACACTATGCCCCAAATAATTTCAGCATTAATAAAAAATAAAGGTGATGTTACCCAATGGTAATCTTTCAAGTGTTGGTTTGTTCGCGCAGTTATGCGCACATTGTTTATTTGTTCAGATGTTCTATTAGTTATAGGTCTAAGTGATTTTAAATATGTATTTTTTACGACTAGAGTGTATCTAAAATGTTTTTGAGAAAATAAATTGTTTTAGAAGTAAATAGTTTCGTCATGTTTAGTTTATAGAGGCATATTATGGTACAAATCTTGAAGTGGGCCAACTGAAGTGGGAAGGGGCTCGTATACTTTTTGCGCGGGCACTCTTAAGCTTGGCTCAGGACGAACGAGTTTGCTGGCTGTTCCGGCCTCCGATACTACTAAGCTTAGAAGTTGACAAGCATACTCGCTATATCCAAAAAGGTTTTAAATGAATTGAGGCAAAAACACCTTCATACATAAATTCGGCTTTGCAATCGAAAAGTTCTATAATTTTGATAGGTACTGTATGTGCACTCACAACATTAATGCTGACCATTGTTATTTTCATATGATAAGTACGACCATCGGGTGGGGTGACTAATAGTATAAAATAGGTACCACAGACATCCAGAAGTTTATTTTTCAGTTTATTGTACCGATCATATTGTACCGATCAACTTCGCTGGCTGATAGAGGTAAGAGTCTTTTATTTTCTATACGATCTTGACTAACAGTTTTTAAGGTATTTCTTTATAATTATTGGTATTACTGTGCACGTTTTCCTTTTATTTTGCACACAAAATCCAAAAATACTTGAAAAGCTCTAGATTTAATGTTTAAAAACCGTATTTCTTGATTTATTCAAAATGCCACATTATATCAAGAATAAGTAAATGAAAACATACTTATTTTCAGCAGTCTTTGAATTTTAGTATTAATAATAGGCATTGCTCTTAAAGAACTTAGCAGACGAAGGTCATTCTCTTGCCTGGTTTTGTCCACTTTTTAATACACGCTTAGCATTCTGAAAGATACAGTCACTATTTTGTACCTGTTATAATCCATTCGGTGATAATTTTGAGGTTTTGATTGTAAAAAAGTACAAAAAACAAAATAATAAGAAATGGAGTCAAGTAGTTCTCATGCATTAATATCGAATGTTTTCAATTTATCCAAACATTCAAACTCTGAATCTCTAAAAATCGTTTTTGAAGCCTATAGAATATAAGAAATGAGATTTTAAATATTCAGTTCAAAAGTTTGTATTGATATTTGCCTAAAAAATGGAAATCTAGTGCCCTCTATTTTTTTTAAATAAGCTCCAGTGTAATCACTTCAGAATCAGAAAAAAGAGTTTGGGTGTTTTTAGAAAACATACAAAAAATGAGTAAAGTATACTGGCTGCACATAAATTCATGTACGAGTATACAAATTCTGGATCTGCCCTTATCTCACATATGCCTGACTACTTTGGGGCGTAGTCGAAGAATTTTCGGAAAAGTGATGTCTTTGTAAATTCCGATATATTAATCTAACAAAAAAACTCCTGATCTTCAAATTAGATGATAATCGGAACCATTTTTGTTTAATAATTTTTGCAATATCTCTAAAAATAAAGTGGTGGCGGGGTATTCAAGGGTTCCCTTAAATAACACCCTGTATCTTAACGGCTCAGCCGATTTTAACAAATTTGGCTTAGTTGGAAAGGGCTATTCTTGAACTACAAATGTTATAATATTTAATATTTTTCTAGTTTCACATGTGGCTGCTAGAGGGCTTTTTTCGACATCCCGACAGAAATGGTGAATTTTCTCAAAAAATTAATTGCATTGGTATAATTTTTTTTTAAAAGTAGCTTAATAGTGTCAGACAAGTTTACAAAAACGGCATCTGGATATCTTGTTCCTAACCTAAAATTTAGGCGAAAGAAAATTTTATACGGAAATCCCTTAAATTTTAATTTTTTTTTAATAAAATTTCTGGAATTTCTTTTTATTATTAACTAGTGGCCCTAAAAAGTTGTTGGAGGACCGGAAACGAAACCTCATATTAAAATTCTAATTATGTCGTCTTATGTAGGAGAAAAAGTAGCAATGTTAACATGCAATTTTGGAATCCCATCTCAAATAAGGTCAGGAAGAATAAAAGTGATTTTAGCATAAATCTAGTAGGGCTAACAAATGACTATCTAATAATTTCAAGGCCTACCTAGGAAATTCTGCTTTTTCTGAAATAACTAAGGTTTGGCAACATCAATGTATTACGTATTATTATACATTTTTGGAATTATGATTGAAAATTCTATGCATATGTGCAAACATCTGGAGGACAAGGAACGAAACGTCACATTGAAATACTAATTATGCCACCTTGTAGAGGAGGAAAAGTTGCACTGTTAGTGTGCAATTTATTTTGAAATCCCACTATAAATAAAGTCAGGGAAAAATTAAATTAATTAAATTTGTCTAAATATAACTTTGCTATACCTTCTTTAGTGCCTGCTGTACCTACCAAAAGGCCCTGACAGCGCTGAGCAGCTCAACGAGGACGAGTTGGTGGTCGCCTTAATCGAGAAGGACGGGGTTTCTAGAAACGCCACCTGCTGGCATACAGTATACTTGAGAAGGTAGGGAGTACTAAAGTTTGAATACATGTTCATTCTTTATTGATTCAGAATGCGAGATGTAGGAAACAAGAGTTGCGGAAGAAGTCCAGTTTTGCTGCAGGTACTATAGCTGTGATTATATGTGTGTAGTCGACAAGGCTTTGAGATATATCTCGCACTCCGAATCCTGCATTCTGGATTATTAAAGAATTTAAGTGTTTTCGACCCTCAGCCTATTTGAAGTAGCTCTTGTGTTTTGTCTTATAGGCTTCTTACACACTTTGGATGAAACCGGCATCTTTTTTTTATATGATTCATATATATTGCCAAAAGTTTCGTAACAAATTTTATAAACAACTGATTTTATTCAGTTTGAGGAACCGTTAAAAAGTTTTCACAAACTGAGAAAACCCATCATCTAGTCTTTGAAGTACTCGACATTAATGTTGATAAAATTATATTTTCCGTTCCCGAAGAATGTATTCAGGAGAGGCAAGGGGAACAGCCGCCCTCCTTCCAGGCATGAGAAAGTGAAATGAACAGACCATTTTTTATACGATAAAAAAATGTTCTATGTACTCTTCACGTCTTGAACCAATATATATTAGATGGGAAAATATTTAGGACTAGTTATTTGGTTTATGCAGAAAGTCTTAAATATTGTTTTCAGCTAAAATATTTTGAGCTCTATGTATCTTGCGGTTATAATGCAAAACAATAAATGGATCTATCTATTCAGATGTAGTATTCTCAAATTGTTTAAAAACTCTCTAAGTCCTTCCATCAGTAGAAAAGGAATATACTTCAAAAGTACGGCATCTTGATTATAATCGTCTTGAAATAAACTTTGTAGAAAATGAAACTATTATGGTTATTTGTATTCATATTCTGATGAATATTTTAAATAATTTGAATTTAGAAAACTGATTGTGAAATATCGTTGAAATATCGACAAACAGAAATCGCTTCCACTCTGATTTTTGAAATATGGGACAATATGATTTAATACTCGTAGCAATAAATAAAGGCCACGACAAAAGTGGCAGTTCCATTGATAACACAATGGTCCTTATTCGTCAATGGGTCAGAATCCTTGGATGTTATTCACTGGATAATATCCTGCCTTACGCAGTAATATAAATCTACGTTTGGATTGACTACACAAATTTTGGTTGTTTTAGCATTAAAATTTGCACTTGAAATATGTGTTTTTTCAAAATTTCTGAACCCTTTAAAAAAGGAAACGCAAATTTTAGTTTTTTCTAGCCTCCAGAAACTCAAAAATACACTCAATGGAAGATTTATTTTTATGTTTCACTGGCTGTTAAATGAAACCATATACGTCTTAGAAAAAAAAGTATTGACACTTCGGTGGTGGTATTTTTCACCGAGGTGGGTGAAATGCAGTGAGTTTTTTCTTTTCACATGACACATAGAAGTAAATCAGCGAAGCAATGCAAGATCAGCTTTAGAAGCTACATAAGCAAAAATAAAACTTGGGGTCAAGAATTTTTGTTTTTTATCCTTACACTTTTAAACTGATCTTCGGAGGCAACAGGTATATTTCATAGAGTAACCTTGTGTCAAAGTTTTGTCACAAGTGATTATCTTTACTTCCCCCGCCTACTGGCGAGGAAGTATTGAAATCGCTAAAACTAGCGTAGTGTCTATCGTAGAATTGACCATCTCATGAAATGATTGAGCATTTCATGAAATAAATAATATTCATTCAGGAGTGATCGTATCGTAAAATAGGGTGACTATAGAATATCTGATAAAAATCCAGAATATAATAATAATAATAATAATGTTGATTTGAAACATACAGTTAGGTAAAAATAGTAGCAAAATACATTTAAATGCGATATGGTACAAAAAAGGGCTGAAGGCATTTAAAAATGATACAAGTTCAGCCCTTTACCTAGTACACATTCATATATACACATATACATACACATACATAATACACATATATATATATATAAAAAAAAGAAAGATCTACCTTAGAAAGCCTCGAATAATAAATGCGAGTTATAGTACAAGAAAAAATTTTGTTTTCATTGGTTTGGTCGCTTTCAAAAATAAATGTTTTATATTTGATTTCAAACAGGTTTGGATGCGGAATTTTAAAGTCGTTAGGAATTTGATTGTAAAGCCGGTAAATGTTGTATGATAAAGATCTACAAAAAAGAGAAGTTTGATGTGGAGGAGGTGATATGTAGCCCCGAAACCGCAGATTTCAGTTATGAACATCGGTGCGACAAGTTATTCTATCGAATAAATATGGTGGTTGCTTAAAAAACATAATTTTCTGAAAAAGATTACATACATGCAACTCACATGCAACTTATGTGAAACTCTTTCAAACTAACGTATGGCATAAATAAATCATAGGCAGGACTTCTGTACACGTTCAATTCTATCCATGTCAATCTTGTCTAAGCAAAACCCATAAAGGCTGTTACAAAAATTAAAATGGCTGAGTACTACTACTTCACAAAGCAATATTTTAAGTTTAACAGGGAGGACATATCGATGAGCATATAGAACTTTTAGAGAAACATAAGCTTTCTGGATACATTTATTAATATGAGGCTTAAATCTTAGATATAAGTCAACCTCTACTACCAAATTTCTTACAATGGCAGAACAAGGTATAGATTCACTTTTTATTTTGACATGAAAAGTGGGCTCAATATTGTCTTTCAATCTGCCAAATAACATGAGTTGTGATTTGCTTGCATTAATCTGTAGACCATGATTTTCCGAAAACAGAACTAATCTTTCAATACCTCGCTTAATAATGGCCAATGCATCACGTTTCTCGTTAGGATTGAAAGAAAAATAAAGCTGAGTATCGTCAGCATACAAATGTACCTGACAACTTCGAAGACATTGGGAAAGGTTTGAGGTATAAATACCAAAAATCAGAGGTCCCAAAATAGAGCCTTGTAGAATACCCGAGGGGATGACATCTTTGGAGGACATACGTTTACCTGTTTCTACATATTGTGTTCTTTTAGTTAAATAGTGGCACATAAGCGTGCTAGCAAATTTGGAAAACCCTATATAGTGTAAAATACCAAACAGCATTTCGTAGTAGTCCAAGAGTACGAGAGCGGTGACTTTTCTGGAATCTGTTGCTTTGAATATGTCGTCAGTTATATTTAACAGAGCAGTTTCGCAGCTGAATCCTTTCCTAAATCCCGATTGATGGTCTGGTAACCAATTGTTCTCAGTTAAATAATCTCTTATTTGTTGGTCCAATATAATCTCCATTAGTTTTGATAGCACTGGTAAAATACTTATGGGGCGATGATCATTGTAGTCGTTAATATCAGACTTCTTTGATATTGGTATAGTTTTGGCAATTTTCCATGAGTCTGGAAATTCTCTATCTAAAATACAGGAGTTTATTATATTTGTAATGTAGGGGAGATTTTATGGGAATACAATAAGATCATTTCAAGATTTAGACCATCAGCACCTATGGCAAGCGATTTAATTCTAAGAAGTGCATTTTTAACGACACCCTGAGAAACTGTGTGAAATTCAAAAAGTGTGTTGATGTTAGTACGCCTATTGCTATAATAATAATCCAAATTGTCATAGTCTACTGATCAGCTTGCTCGAGAGATCTGAAGAACATGGTTATTTATGTCATCCGGATTATTCAGCTGATCGGGAATTCAACCTGTTTTTTGTTGCTAATATTTAAATTTAATAATTTTTTCCAAAGCACTTCAGTTTGATTGATATTTTTATCAATACATTATTGCAAATAACCATGGGGGGTTTTCGAACTTTAAATTGAATTATCATTACATCGAAGATATTGGATAGTACTTCATTCAAAAATAAGACCTTTTCCTCACCTTTTGGTAAATAAATCAATTGTTCGAAAAGAGAAATTTCCAAAAACTCATTGAGCAAGTCTTTATCTGGATCTAGAAAATATTTATTATATTAAAACATTCTTAAATTCACGTGACGTCGGTTCAATCTGAGACACTCTTGGCCACTCCTTCAGTACGAGCTTAAGTCGCTCGTAGTTCTACTCAGGATCATTCGTATTTGAGAATACTTTTGCATGAAAATAGTTTGTTTGCCTTGGGTATCGGCTTATTCGTTACCAATACAGAACATCACTATCATAGCTCTATGGGTTTCTGCATTTCTACATTAAAAGAGCGATCCCTCAAGGTATCGTTTTCTACTAAGAACGTGAAATTGGAAAAATGAACTTCGGCTAGTTCTGTATAAGAGTGATGAAGTCGTTGTCGATTTGAGAACATAAAACACGACCATTAAATTTACTTCCTAGAAATTCCATTTTATTTTTCAGGATCTCCATGTCTACTATGGAGAATATCTCCTTAACCATGTGATAACAAACTATTTTTTCAGGTCGAGTAACCTCTTAAGTCTGCTGCTGAGGACAATTCAACATCGAACTTCATTCCACGTTTGCTAACTTGGTGAACAATACAGAAGCGTGATTTGTTGTTCATAACAGTCACCTTTGTCTACGTTCGGCTCTTCACACTTTTGTGAAATCATTACTTGGTTTCCTTCAAGTAACATCCAATTTTTTATTCACTTTTTTCTTCTTTAACTTCAAGTGGAATGATGTCTCCTTGCGATCGCTGCAGACTAATGTTTCTTATAACTTTAGTAATATTTGCTGTAATTTTTGTACTAGCAGTCTCTGTCTATTTCTCGATATACATGTTAATGAAGCAACTCTAAAATGCTTAAAAATGCCTGTTTAACTATAACCACATATTGAAGAGCGTGATTTCTTTTTATTATTTTCATAATGTCTGAAGACGATAACTTTAAGTAACATAAATTTATAGAAGAAATCATTTTCTATTAAACTTACCATCACCGACATAAACGTTCAAGCAGATAGTTGTGTTTAAATGCTGCACGATAAAAAATAGTAATTATTGACAATGCGAATTAGTATGACAGATAACCTAAGTTTTGAATGTTTAGAAGGTCAGGGAAATCCTTGAGGGATAATGTGGAATGAATTATTTCATTATATATTCTAAAAACTTCAAAACTTTCGCACACTGAGTCGTGGGCGCAGGGGAAGTTCCGTGAGGCGTGGCCCTGGTTAAACCTCAAAATTTGCATATTTAGCATGATTGTGTGTACAGGTTTGAGGATTTTTCGGATCTGTCCTCCTCCAGGCAAATTTGCTCTTCAAATAGTTTTGGAGGCAAGTAACATATCATAACAACCTCTTGCCAATGATCGGACCCCCTAAGAAAAATACATACGGGCATACACTGAGTTTGGGAAAGATCGTTTGGAGAGCTATTGGTTCCAACCCTGTCATTTTTACACATTACCTCTCGAAAATGTTGGTCGCATCTAAAAGAAGTCACTCTCTCCAATACTTTTAATTGATATCATAGAATTGCATAACCAGTTTTTATAAAATCGGTGGCTTATTTTTATCTTCACATTTGAATATCTTAGAGTAATTTAAAATCGCCAACTAGTGAAAACAAGTCAGAAAAATAGCTCGAACCTTGTCCTTGGAGCGAACAGTAAAATTTATTTCAGATACTTTTAAAACGTATACTATTTAGGATATAAGATTACTGCCAAACCATAACTGTTATTTTGAAAAGATGATGCCACCTTGAGATGATGTTGAAAATCATAATTATTGAAGTTCAATCCTCCCCTTAAACACCTGTTCATAAATGTCTCTAAAATGACACATTACATAACATGTATAAGAACTTAAACTTCAGGGTCAAGGGTATAGTTAACATACGTACATTTCAATTATTTTGCATTTGAATGTGAATATTGAAAATGGTCACCGCGAATACTATAAGTATTAAGTATGGAACATTTGATTTAAGTGTATAGTGCTTTCCAGAACGGTCCCGCCTATTTACCTTTTGAGGTGGTCAAGCTAGCAGGCTGAAATTTGACAGGTTGAAATTGACGCACAAATACTATATTTCAAACTGAAAACAACAGTTGAAAAATTCAAGATGGCGAACTGGCAGGCTGTCAAATTTGGGCGTTCTGTAGGTTACGTCAATCTTTTTCTTTTAAAAGGTTCTATCTGAATGTGCAATAAAATATAAGACTGAAAAACTAGCAGACTTTGACAATTTATTTAAATTAAATTTATTTTATTAGAACGTTATAGTATGTTACGTCAATCTTTTTCTTTTGAAAGGTTCTATCTGAATGTGCAATAAAATATAAGTCTGAAAAACTAGCAGATTTTGACAATTTATTTAAATGGAATATATTTTATTACATATTCGGCTAGATCCTTCCAAGTAAAGAATATTTTATAGCGTTTCTATGATTGGTTGTCAACTCCAAGATGGTAATTTCATATTCTGGAGTTATATGGTAATCTTAAGAAGCTTTATAATGAGGTATAACACGTTCCGCACTATTTAAAATATGTTAAAAACTGGCGCCCAGTCGTTATCTTCAAACCTTCAACTTCATGCATCAATTTTATTACTCCCATTTCAGCTTGCTAACTTGATCCGTTCAAAACATAGCTAGGGAGAAGGGGGTGAAAAGCACTGCATAATCATTAAGTAAATAATCCGTGCAGTATAAATGGTGTTTCAAATGGCTATGATGCAGGAGCTAACACTCTTATTTGGAGAGATGTTTCTGAGTGTACTCATATTTGCAAATAAAAGTGTTATAAGAGTCAGATTTGATTTTGAGAGCACTTATCATTATTCAATATTAGGTTCAATTTGTTTAAACTATATTATTGTTGTTATGCTATTCTACTATGTTTAACTTAATATCACGTTACTTATATATTGTTATTCTACTATTAGGGGAAGTATACGACTTACAATTATCAAGAAAAATATAGCTGCATATAAAGACTATGATATGCCAAAGCTAGTTACTATAAATTTAATATATAATATTTAGCATAATGTTTTTAAAAAGTATGTACTTATTCTTATGGAAGTATTTTTTCGTGCTTAGTTTAAGCTAAATATTCATGGAATAATTGATTCTAAATAGCCAGTACCATTTTTTAATAAACTTGAATTGAATTATTGATGTTTTGGTAAATGATGCTTCCAAATACGATTTTTTTCTATACTGGCGTAAATTCAGAATCAGTTAAGTCAAAAAGGTCAAGCATTATTACTGGTAGACTATCTTACTATTAATTTAAATTTAATTGTCACTCAGAAGTATATTTTTATCTAAATTTAGTCATTTGATCTGGTTTATTTCTGGAAAAATTGATTCTAACGATTTAATAATTTAATTATTTTAGCTGAACTGTTGATGTTCGGTTATATAGCGATTTCAAAAATAAGTATTTTCCATAAATGAGCCAGCTCAAATTTATAAAGTATTATTATTAATAAAATTTGGAAGTTAGTGTTTTGATATCGCTTTCATTTCAGTAGGTATAGGATAGATTTTTATCTCAATGTTGGTATGTATTTGGTATGTTATAATTTCGGAAGAATAGAATAAGATGATTAAAACAATGTTTGCGTATACCTGCCAGGTGAGACAAGCACACGTGTTATGCTGTTAACAATTTTGTTAATCAATGAGTGTTTGTAGTTCTTATTCAATGGTATTTCTTCATATCAAACAGTATCAGCATTGAACGGGTGTTTACAGGGTTTCTTTCAATATATCATATAGGTATGTTTATGTTTTTTTTTTCTTTAAACTCTAATAAAATGACTGTACAGTCTGATGTTTGTTTCATTTTTATCCCTTTTGTTTATTTTTCAACCTCCAACATTGTTTAATTCGGATCGCATCCATCAGGTTTTCAAATTAGTGGAGTAATAACAGTATTCTTAAAAAAATTAAATGGAAGTGAGTGGCATTTTATAACAATAGGAGGAATTCGTAAGCTTCTGCTCTTATCGCCAATTTTGTGAAGAGAATATTAAATTAGAGATAGCACATTATCATTATGGTTATGCACCGGGAAGGTATGTAAGCATGTATCGCCAATAAATAGATAGGAACTAATATATTCAATTCTAGATACAACATGATTCATAATTGCCAAACTGATGATCAATGCTTTATTCAGATAATTTTACAAGCCACTTGCTTTCGACGTACATACTTTTGCTTCTCATTGATAATAGATTTGAAATATTATGTCATGAGAACATTAATCAGTCTAACTCACGTTTGGCTTTCTATAGGTACATACTTGTTGTTTTACACCGGAACAGCCGCGGAGGTAGAAGCCTAATTGGCAGGACCCCGCTTCGAAAGTAAAAGTACTTCGATTCAGAAATAACAAAATAGGGAACATATTTTCTTGTTGGATTTGCTTAGTTTAGCATTGTTACACATATTCTACATAAAGATAGCAGATCATATGCTGTATTTCGGAATCCAAAACATTATCCGAAATGAAAATAGATCTCTTAACCTCATTATTGAGAATTTGTCACAGCTTTGTTGGTCCTCTTCTTTGTATTGCCAATTTGCATGTATCCGACAAAGATAGATGATGTTTTCATTTTGCATGATCGATCATATTTAAAAGATGAATAGTTAGGTTATGTTAAAGCAGGTTAGGTGGTTTTCGAATAATACTTTGGTCTTTGGTGTTCCTGTCTTAAGGTATTCTACTCATAACCTTTTTTTTCAAAACAAAAGCTCCCCACTAAAATTATTATTACGGTATCCTCAAAACCATGAAATAAAATGAAAATAGAAATAATCAGTGAAATAACCTAGCTTCACAAAATGATAATACAAATTTGTTGTGATTATGTTCCTGAAATCGTGATTTTATCAACGACGTACGTCCATTGATTACTTCAGTACAATTTATGGTATGACGTAATAGTCATCTCTCGTGATTTTGACTATAATCAAGTTCAAGCGGATAAGCAAATGAAAATGGTATTTACCATTTTGGATTGGTATTTACCGATCCGTTCAAGCGAGTGTGGTTATAAGATTCGTGACATCATGAATCAGCTGTTATACGTCATAGTTATCACCGCAAAATTGTGGTATTTACCCAACTCAGGAGTAGTTTTATATTTGTGGTTATTATTTGACATGTGACTAGTTAGAATTTTGCCGAGTATTGGATATTTTTATTGTACTTCAGCTTCATTTTTTGGAAACTTGATACAGGCTGACTTCAGTTTTAGCAGAAGAGAGCACCTTGTTAGTTATAATCATTACTGTTGTTGGGGACACTATAAATCTAGTTCCTATGCTTAACAAAGTATCCTGTATAGCCGTATACCACAAGAATATTAAAATATAGCCATTTAACTCACTGAATGATGTCCACCTGTATATGGTTTTGCTAATATCTGTTTTCGTCGTTTTTTCATCTCTGCTAAATCAATAAATATTTTCTTTAACACGGGGAAAAGTTCAACATTCCTCTCATTAATACTATGAAAGGTTTCTTTTTTTCAACTTTCCATACCCCGTTGTAACAGAAAAAGCACCGATTACCAAGTGATAATAAAAATAATCAGAAATTATATACGCGCTTTTATAAAATAAACAACTTGAAACAAACCGCGGTTAAAACCAACGTGTTCAAGCGATTCGAGTAACTGACGTCATCATCCCGTGTGTCATCTTGAACCATATTATAACCGCGGTACATAATACGGAAATTTTGGTTATTCGCTTGGATTTGATTAATATATCAGTTACCAGTCGATGGTTCGTGTACAGTGATGGTACTACGGATATCTACAAAACAAAATGAAAACTTATCTCCACATTGCCAAGACACAAAAAAGTTTTCAGTTGTTTTGTTTCGTGCGGTACATACTAAAAATTTTCAACCTGAAAATGGGTGGCGCTTTTTTGAAATAAAGTCATTTAAAACTTCCTACCATGTTGTTTAATTTCCATATGCAAAACTTAAAAGACATCCCTCGTATATGTTACGACCTTTTAAATTGAGATGTTGAATGTCTCGGGATAACCAAGATATACTTATTCTTTGTGTTCAGTTGACTAACATCCGAGTATCTGATAAATTTGATTGATAGACATGGAGGGGCTTGTGTTGTGACTACTTTATGTGTCAAGGTCAATACGTGCATTTTTTGTAGCTCTTCTATTTTTTGAACACCCAGCTCATGATATTTATGTGATACTGTCTTAAGTTTTCTCACTCCACAAACAAATCTAAGAAACGCATTTTGAATAGTCTGAAGTCTCCTTATCTCAATCGATCTTAGTGCAGGCCCA